GTTCTAAAGTAAACAAAATCGATAAGGGGAATATCGGTGCATTTGGCTCTACGGATATGCTCAAAACAAAGGCGCATCCTGTCAAGTGGCAAAGTCGGTCGTAAAATCGATTTGGTGTTTCCTCACTGCTTATACCTATTCTCCCTCCAAGTGCTACGCGAAATAGCGACGAAGACATTTTACTGTAGTACGGTTAGGAGTCAATACAAAGTAGCATTTTGACGGAGAATAGGTTTTGAATCTCAATATATATTAGGAGTGGTTATGTCAGCTATTATGCCCAAATTATTATTCGCTACTTTGCTCAGTAGTGCTATTGTTGTTTCAGGTTGTGCAACCCAAGGGGGGACTTATACCACCACCCCTACGGGTCAATCTGATCAAACCAATGCCATCATAGGTGCTGTAACAGGGGCAGCCATAGGGGCGATTACTGGGCGAAGCGTTTCTAGTCGAGGGGACCGCACTAAAGGCACGATTATTGGCGCAATAGCAGGGGCTACGGCAGGTGGGGCAGCGGGCTACAATGCCAATGATATTTATGCAAAGTTATTTGGATTAACTAAAATGGGCACCAATACCCAAGTCCAAAAAGTGGATGATAAAACCGTTAAGGTTACTGTGCCCAATGACGTGACTTTTGCAGTGGATAAGTCATTTATCCAACCTGCAGTTGAGCCCACCTTAACACAGTTTGCTAAGAACTTGAATGAATTACCTGGTTCAACAATTAGTGTTGTAGGTTATACGGATGCGTCAGGCTCCGATACGCATAACCAGAAACTATCGGAAGCACGTGCGTCTTCAGCTGCACGCTATCTCGAAGTTCATGGTGTTAGCCCTGCTCGTGTGCGGACTTCTGGTATGGGGGAGGCTAACCCTGTTGCAAGTAATGATACAGTAGATGGCAAGGCCAAAAACCGTCGTGTTGAGTTTTTTGTGACCGCACCCGACTTAAATACTGCACCAACTGGCCAACAACCCACACAGTCCAATATATAATTGGGTAGTCTAGCGATCCCAAATTCAGGGTTGGTGTTTTAAAAACGATGTCTACTGGACATCGTTTTGTGTTTTGAATATAAAGCATTATCTAAGTGGGACCAACCATTTAGGGTTAATGTATAGGAATAGAGAAGATTAATGGTTATAATGCCAATGAATAGAAACAGGGCTACACTCGTTAATGATTTTTAAACAAAAGACAAATATCCTATGAATGCACACATCAAAAATGGGTTGTTAACGGCAGTCACAGTATTGATGCTTTTACCAACGGTCGCTTGTACCGCTTTGTCGAGTGGGCAAGCGACAACGGGCGCAATCCTTTCTGCCGATCGGCGCACGGTAGATATGGTTTTGATTGATCAGCAAATTCAAAACGAAGCACGCTTGGCTTTGCAACGGTTGCCGCAAAGTGACAATGTAAATGTCCATGCCTACAATGGTACCGCACTATTATATGGACAAGTGACACAAGCGGCCGATATTGCCCAAGCCAAAGATATTGTTAGCGGGTTAAAGCGAATCAAACGCGTTCATAGTGAGCTCGTTGTTGCCCCTTCTCGGGGGTTTTTCGGTGGTATTGGTGATGCTTCGTTGGCCACCGCTGTGCGTACCAGTCTTGTCGCCACCATTGGTGTACCTAGTGGCAGCATAGACGTGGTGACTGAAGGGGGGGTCGCTTATTTGATGGGGATGGTGACCAAAGTCGAAGGAGAACGTGCTGCTGCCGTCACCGCCGCCGTGCCAGGGGTGAATCAAGTCATTTTGGTTTTTGAATATATTTCCCCTGAAACGCAGAAATCACTCGATGAACAAGTGGCATTACGTCAGCAAACAGGCGGCAATTAAATTGAAATCTCTGGTTGTTTGCTCGTTACGGTGGGGCATCGGTTCGTCCGTGCTACTAATGGTGGGGCTAGCTCAGTCGCAACAAGCGACCCTGCTGGATTATTACTCCAAAATTCAAATGAGGGTCAATGAAGGGCAACCTGTGTCAACCCATCTAATAACTCGAGATCAACAAGATTTGCCACAAACCAGCCAGACCCCAGCGAAAATAGCAACCCTTGATCCCAGTTCATTAAGTTGGCCAGATTTAAAAGATTTTGAAAATACGGCCACTCCTCATGCGAACTCCAATGGGCCCTTATCGCCCACTACAGAAACGCCAACTCAAATTGCCGTAACAAAAAGCGACAGCATTTCGGACTCATCTCCTGTAGCTGAAGTCCCCACATTAAATTTGCCGTCATTAGACTCAACTGTACAGGTTACGCAACCCCCACTTTCTAAAGACCGTTCCTCAATTAATGAGACAAATTTGCAGCCTAACTTGCAAAAAGACAATAAATATCAGCAAGTTGAATATTTGGCGAAGGCTTTACCTGATAAACTTAAGGTAGAACTAAAAGAGGTCCAAGCGCAAATTAATCCGAAGATCTTTCAGAAGGTCAATGTAGCACTGGGTCAACCAGACTCCACCAATTGGACCGAGGATAACTCGTTGATGTCGGTGAATACAGAGAAATCCAATGTAGCAACCTCAGAAGCGGCAAAACCTGACGTGGTGAGATCTGTTACGACTAAAACCACATTGGAGACTAAGCCACCTTTAAAAGACAAGCGGCTTAATGATGTGCCAACCCTTACGAATCCAACCCAATTCGTGCCCTCTGTTGAAAGGTTCACCCCCTCCATGCAGACGGGATTGAATGGTTTCAGTGATCAAGTGACACTACCTACCACGGCGGTCAAGCCTTCGCAAGCTGTTGTGGTGACTCGCACAAATGCAGATACACAACAGATAAAACTACTGGAAAAAGCCCTAACACAACTCCACATTATCGACCCCACTACCCGTGCGTCATTAAGTTTATTCTTTGGCAACTCAAGCTTAGGGCATCGTCCATTAGAAGCGATGAAAGAACTTGCCCAAGCGGGGCAGCGTGGTAATGTGAGCAGCTTGCTAGCTTTAGGCCTGATTTTGCAGTATGGCAGCAAGACGTTAGCACCCAACCCGCAAAGAGCACAAAAACTTTTTGAAAAAGTGGCGAAAATGGGTGATGCCAATGGTGCTTTTATGTTAGCTAGGCTATATATTAGCCATGGTGAGCGATTTAGTCCAGCCGAAAAAGCACAAGCCCTGCAATGGTTAATGGCTGCGGCTAACCAGAATCATGCGGAGTCCTTGGCGTTATTAACAAGTTGTTTTACTGATGGTCAACTCGGTGCGCAGGTTGATGGTGAAAAGGCTGTATTGGCGTTAACCAAAGCCGCCCAATTGGGTCATGCCCTATCGATGATTAAGCTCGGAACATGGTATTTACAAGGAAAACAAGGTTTGCCCGTTGACTTAATTATGGCAAATCAATGGTTTGAACTGGCCGCTCAAACACAATTACCAGATGCCTTGATGATTTTAAAACAATTAGGTTTTCAGAGCCAAATGACGAACCCGCTCGCAAATCAGCCATCCACCACGCCCTCTCGCACCCTTTCAGGAGATCAAGTGGACATCAAATCCATTAAACCCGGTTTAGGTATAGGTCATCTTATTAAAATATTTAATTAGTCCACTATTTTATTTTAAACGAGGAGGTTGCCTGAGAAGACACATATAATTCTAATTTCGGATCAAATGTGCAATAATATTTCACCATTATTATCAAGTGCGCAATTATGTCAAGACCATTCAAAGGGCACGAACGGTTGCTCGAAGCACAATCAAAATTGAAAACAGCTCGCGATATAGTAGAACTAAGGCAGCTTCAATCAGTTGTTTTTCCACTAGAATTAGGGCTGAGCTTAGGGAGTCAGCTGAATTAATCGGCATCAGTAAAACATGGGCAAGCCGTCTTCGAAATCACTTTATTCAGAGTGACCCTGAGCAGATGGTAGAGCGAAAAAACAAACAAGGTGGTCGTCGTCGCTCGCATATGACTCATGAGCAAGAAGCTGAAATATTAAAAGAATTTATTGAAAATGCTCAAATTGGTGGCGTATTAATCGTCACGGATATCAAGCTCGCTTATGAGAAGGTGATTTGCAAAACTATTTGTAAAACAACAGTTTATAACACAATTCACGGCCACAACTGGCGAAAAATTGTTCCCGATGAACGCCATCCAAAAAGTGATGTAGAGGCGCAAGCAACTTTAAAAAAAACTTCCTGATTTCTTAAAAGAGATTCAATCTGGCTGAGTAAGTGAAGGTCAGTCGATTCAATGAGTTTTTCAAGATGAAGCGAGGTTTGGGAGAATTTCAGATATCCGGTGTTTGTCAACTATTTTGACAAATAACGAGATTTGAAATTGGAATAATCCCAAATTTTCCATTAGACACCTAAAGCCTAACAAAATCAATCGGCTGCTCTAATGACTCCATTGGAAATTTTCTTTGCTAATCAATGAACTCTGCTTTTAATGGAAAATCTGGAATAATATCGAATCGAAATGAAGTGTTTTTTCTCTGTAACAAAAAGCCATGCCGTTACTTTTCATAAACTGCATGGCTTTTATTTAGTGCTCAAAACTCGCTAGAATCCGGCACGCCTTATTTCAATTCCGAATAAAATCGGAATTGGGCGTTAAAGATTACCTAGGGGACTATTCTCCACTTGGCTCACCAAATACGTCCTCCACGACCAGCGTATCCCCTTGATTCATTTCCTCAGTTGCGATACGTTGATGCATTTCTTGGTCAAGTTTGTCTTTTGCCTTGCGAGCTGTGTGGAACGCAAGACCGGTACCTGCTGGAATCAATCGGCCAACGATGACGTTTTCTTTGAGGCCACGCAATTGATCGACTTTGCCCATTACTGCAGCTTCTGTCAAGACGCGAGTAGTCTCTTGGAATGAGGCAGCTGAAATGAAGGAGTCTGTTGACAACGAAGCTTTAGTAATCCCTAGCAAAATATTGTCATACAATGCTGGACGTTTACCTTCGGCAATTACACGATCGTTTTCATTAAGCATGTCTGAACGTTCCACTTGCTCACCTGTGATAAAGTTCGTTTCACCAGGATCGGTAATCGAAACCCGACGAAGCATTTGGCGCACAATCACTTCACAGTGTTTATCATTAATTTTTACACCCTGCAAACGATAAACCTCTTGCACCTCGTTCACAATATAACGCGCCAACTCTTCAATACCTTGCAAGCGAAGAATATCGTGCGGATTACGTGGGCCATCGACAATCATCTCACCTTTGTTGACCACCTGACCATCATGCACAAGGACTTGTTTTTCTTTAGGAATCAAGAACTCATGCGATTGTCCATCCAAATCAGCAATCACGAGACGCTGCTTACCTTTGGTTTCTTTACCAAATGATACCGTCCCCGTCACTTCAGCTAGGATGGAAGAGTCTTTTGGTGCCCGTGCCTCAAACAACTCAGCAACCCGTGGTAAACCACCCGTAATGTCACGGGTTTTTTGTGATTCAATCGGAATCCGTGCCAAAATTTCACCGCTCGCCACTTGTTGACCATCTTTAACGGTAATTAAGGACCCGACTTGGAATGCAATCGTCACGGTGTGTTCGGTACCAGGAATTTTCACTTCGCTGCCCGACTCATCCAATAGTTTAATTTGTGGACGAACACCACGCCCTGATGACCCTTGGCGTTTCCCTTGAATAACGACTAAGGTTGATAGACCCGTGACATCATCGGTTTGTTTTGCAACCGAAACGCCTTCTTCAACGTTTTCAAATTTAACAACACCCGAATACTCTGACACAATTGGACGGGTTAGCGGATCCCAAGTGGCCACAGTTGCACCCGCTTTGACAGGTTCGCCATCTTTAACCACTAATGTTGCGCCATAAGGAATTTTGTGACGTTCACGTTCGCGTCCGTTATCGTCCATCACCGCAACTTCACCAGAACGCGAAATCACAATTTGATCGCCTTTTGGATTCGTTAAGTAGCGAATTCCTCCTGCAAAAGCAATCGTTCCCGAAGATTTCACCTCAACAGAAGAGGTGACCGCCGCCCGCGAAGCCGCGCCACCAATATGGAAGGTCCGCATGGTTAACTGGGTTCCTGGCTCACCGATCGATTGCGCCGCAATGACACCAACAGCCTCACCGATATTCACTAACGTTCCCCGTCCCAAATCGCGACCGTAACATTTCCCGCACAAACCGTAACGCGTTTCGCACGTGAGTGGCGTACGGATAAAGACTTCATCAATACCCAATTGATCAATTAAATCAACGGTATCTTCATCAATTAAAGTTCCAGAAGCAATCACCACGTCTAACGTATCAGGATTAACAACATCAGCGGCTGCCACTCGGCCTAAAATGCGTTCACGTAAAGGCTCAATCACTTCACCGCCTTCAACAATCGCTTTCATCATCGCACCCCGTTCGGTGCCACAATCTTCTTCCGTAACCACGAGATCTTGGGTCACATCCACTAAACGACGGGTTAAGTAACCTGAGTTAGCGGTTTTTAATGCGGTATCAGCCAAACCTTTACGCGCACCATGGGTTGAAATAAAATACTGTAACACACTGATTCCTTCACGGAAGTTCGCAGTAATCGGTGTTTCAATAATCGAACCATCCGGTTTGGTCATCAACCCCCGCATCCCGGCTAACTGACGAATCTGTGCAGCAGAACCCCGCGCGCCTGAATCGGCCATCATATAGATCGAGTTAAACGATTCTTGTTTAACCGTTTGCCCATGTCGATCAACCACGTCCTCATGCGAAAGATGCTCCATCATGGCCTTACCTACAGCGTCACTAGTGCTGCCCCAAATATCGACCACATTGTTATAACGCTCTTGCGCGGTCACAAACCCTGACATATATTGGCGACCGACCTCTTTGACCTTGGTTTCTGCAGCATGAATCAGCTCAGGTTTGGCCTTAGGCACCAACATGTCATCCACACAAATCGATAAACCGCCACGAGTTGCCAAGCGGAAACCATTTTGCATCAAACGATCAGCAAAAACCACCGTATCGCGCAAACCACAACGACGGAAAGACGCATTAATCAGACGAGAAATTTCTTTCTTTTTTAATGCTTTATTAATAAACGAAAATGGTAAACCTTTAGGCAAAATACGTGACAAAAACGCACGACCTACCGTGGTATGGTATAACGTGATTTTTTCTTGGTAACGACCTTCACCTTGGTTATTCGGATCGATGATCTCATATTCGGGAATACGCACGCTAATTTTGCTATTGAGTTCAACGATTTTATTTTCATAAGCCATTTCAACGTCATCAACATTGGCAAAAATCATGCCTTCGCCTTTGCCATTGATCCGTTCGCGCGTCGCATAATATAGCCCTAAAACAATATCTTGAGACGGCACAATAGACGGTTCACCATTGGCAGGGAACAACACATTATTAGATGCCATCATCAAGGAACGCGCCTCAACCTGCGCTTCGAGTGAAAGGGGGACATGTACCGCCATTTGGTCACCGTCAAAGTCAGCATTAAATGCCGCGCAGACTAGTGGATGCAATTGAATCGCTTTACCTTCAATTAACATCGGTTCAAATGCCTGAATCCCTAAACGGTGAAGTGTTGGAGCACGATTCAATAAAATAGGATGTTCGCGAATCACTTCTTCCAAAACGTCCCATACCACTGGGGTTTGGTTTTCTACTTCTTTTTTCGCAGCTTTAATGGTGGTCGCCACCCCCATTGTCTCCAACCTATTAAAAATAAATGGTTTAAACAACTCCAGCGCCATCAACTTAGGTAAACCGCATTGATGCAATCTGAGATAAGGCCCCACCACAATCACCGAACGACCAGAATAATCCACCCGCTTTCCTAAGAGGTTTTGACGGAAACGACCGCCCTTACCTTTAATCATATCGGCTAATGATTTCAGTGCCCGTTTGTTAGCCCCTGTCATGACTTTACCGCGACGACCATTATCTAACAATGAGTCCACCGCTTCTTGTAACATCCGTTTTTCGTTGCGGACAATAATTTCAGGTGCACGTAATTCTAACAAGCGGCGCAGACGATTATTACGGTTAACGACACGGCGATATAAATCATTTAAGTCAGAGGTCGCAAAACGACCACCATCCAAATGCACTAAAGGGCGCAACTCAGGCGGCAACACGGGCAACACTTCTAAAATCATCCATTCGAGCTTCGCGCCAGAACGCTGGAAAGCCTCTAAAACTTTTAAACGTTTTGCCACCTTTTTAATTTTTGTTTCAGAGCTCGTCGCTTTGAGTTCAGCAGACAACGTTTCAATTTCACGAGGTAAATCGATGGTCCGTAAAAGTTCTTGAATGCCTTCTGCACCCATTAAAGCCTTGAACTCATCTTCTCCAAACTCTTCACAACGGGCATAATACTCTTCCTCAGACATAATCTGACCGCGCTTGAGATTGGACACCATGCCCGGATCAATCACTACATAGGCTTCAAAATATAGCACCCGCTCAATATCACGCAGAATCATATCGAGTACCATCCCTAAACGAGAAGGTAATGA